CACTCTGGGAACATCACTATGTCAGAAACTGTTTGTCAGTCAGAATGTGGACACTCCCACTACCCCTCTACCTGGACAGACTGTCACCAGATCTGTCTGCAAGCTTAATCTGTAGGCACTGCTAGTTTTCTCACCTGGGGGGGTAAATTTAGGGTCAAATGTGGGAGGTGAACAGGGACAAGCAACTGAAAATATTGAAAAGCAATGAGATGCTGTATTGACATTTATGTTAAAGATATGTGTTCATCTATGGTTAGGTAATTCTAAAATTACAACACTTGGGTTGAAGAGTCTCAGTCTAAACCAATTTTGTTTTATGACAGATACTGTTGGAAAGCTGTCAATGCTGTTACAACCCTATACGTATTTTCTGTTACAGTGTTACTTTGATGTTATTTACATAACACAAAACTGAGGGGAAATGTCATATATGGAACTAGTGATGTAGGGAGCTGTCAGAGTCTACATAGGATTTCTGATAGTGAGAGACAACCCAGGGGCATTATGGGGTGGGGGAGACTTGCAAGTGGAAGTGTGTGAGATGTGTGTGGTGGTGGTGGTGGTGGTCGTGGGGGGGGCACATGTTAACTGTCCAGTACATATAACCATTATGCCTTTCTGCCCTATGTCAATAATGCTGATATGTGACCATATGCATCCAATCTAGGATGTTAATATGTTAGAAATATAAGTCAGATATGTATAATGTTTACTTGATTTGAGTGGACTGTATTTTTATTGAGCAATTTATATGGCTAATGTAAGTTAAACAATACATAAAAAGTTAACAGTCCAGTCTGATCAAGACCTGTATACTGCAGATGTAATTACTTGTCTCTTTGAAATGTAGGAGAGGGAAATGTTTCTATTCAGTTTTATTGATTTCATACATGACAAATTGTGAAGTATGTGATATGTAAACAATGTGCTGTAATCCTAAAAAAAGAGCAGAGGATGTTCCAGAGAGAGCAGATGCTGACTGACCATTGTAATGTATTACAAGTAATGTCAGTAATGAAGATCCAGAATAAAGCTGCTGTTACCACAATCCTGACCTGCTCTTGGTGATTGCTTCAGACAGTAGACACAACATAGAGGTCACATGTTCACACCAAAGAGGAGTGTATGCTGCTCTTTTTATTATCTGCTCATTGTGGGAAATATTTGTGGGCAGATCTCAGTGTTTGATTTTTCTGCAGTCTACTCACCTGTTTTCTCTTTGACTGTTTGTGTTCTACATAAAGCTAGTAACTGTAGAGAAGTTATTATACTCACCTGCCCATTCTACTCCAAATCTGTCTGGAGGGAATCAGTATACTCACCTGTCCAGCCTATCACTATTTACCCTTTTTCCTTCATCCTCTTATGGTTTCTAATCCACCTGCAAAGAAGCCTCTACCTACTTTCCTGACCACACTGCCATTCTCTGGGTATCTCCACCTCCATCTCTTAACATTGACTATTATGGCACCAACTCTTTCCTGTAAATAGTTTCATAATTGTGAGTGCCATAAGCCTCTGGTCAGGATTATCAAAGCTCACATTTATAGATTCATTTAGTAACCTTTTTTCATGACCTAGACATGACAGAGGAAGGCGCTCACATTTTCACTTGTCTGAACTATAAATCCATGTGTAAGCAGGACCAGCATGAATTGATAGGTGCAATTTGTTTTGACACTAATTTAACAGGTTTTAGTCAAAGATGTTTGTCTGACTATGTGTGACAACTGATGTCCAATAAAATTAAACAAAAAATGAAAATGGCATTTCACATGCACAAAAAAATGAGTAATCACAAAGAGTTGTGCTTTCACACTGTTAATAATTAATTAATTAACTGTATTGTGGAAAAAATGACAACCCAACTTTGCAATTCCCCTTGAGCTTAATGAAACATTTATGACATTACATTCATGCAAACATGAAAATATTTTTACTATAGGCTGTAGACCAAACATATTTGGGCTCCTCCTTCCTCTCACCCCACCTTGTAGGTCAAGAGAGATGAAATATTCATCCTATCTTTTTATTTTTTATGTGAATCCAAAATGTATAAATACTAGTACAAACTTCTGGTTGGTCTGAATGTACATGTGATGCCACCCAGTGGTTTAGTTCTCTCAGACAGTATGACATCCACACAGAGGTGGACAGAGCAGGGCTGGGCACTTTTACAGCTGTTGTTGTTAGTGTCCTCTCAGGCTGAGGAGCTGGTGTGCCGGCAGAGAGGGGATCCTGAGAACCCAGAACTATCTAAGGATGGAGACATTATACTGGGAGGAATCTTCTCTTTCCATGGCAGCTGGAAAATCAGACAGGACACCTACATGCACAAACCACTGCCACTGGAATGCACCAAGTAAATTATATGGTTGAAAACTAATAAGACTTCAAAGATCTAAAACAAAATGTATGAACTATTATGTGCTGTGTGCATTAGTAAATCTTAAATTTACTACTCTGTTTCTGTTTCAAGTACTACTCTTAGTCCAACAGTTTAAAACTGTCTGTATCAAGGTTGATTTTCAGAGAGTTCCAATATGCTCAGGCCATGATTTTTGCCACTGAGGAGATTAATAACAGGACAGACCTACTGCCTGGCATTTCCCTGGGCTATAAGATGTATGATGACTGTCGTTCTGTAGCCAGAAGTGTGAGGGTTGCACTGGCCTTGGCTAATGGTAATGAAGTTGTGTCTGCACTCACTGAGGCACCATGTACCCGATGTGGACAAGCACAGGCCATTGTAGGAGGGTCCTCTTCCTCTCCTAGCATGGCTATGGCTACTGTCATCGGACCCTTTCATATCTCACAGGTGGGTAAAATTAGTATGTAATTTAATATTTGTTGAATATAGATATTAATTTGCAGTGATTCCAGCTGCTCAATTGTGAGTTTGAAAATGTTTTATACGTTACATTTCTATCAGAGGAGGTCATTTCTTTTTCTTGTAGATCAGCCACTTTGCCACCTGTTCTTGTCTCAGTGACAAAACCAAATACCCATCCTTCCTCAGAACAGTACCCAATAACTACTATCAGATATTCTGTGTCTTTCTTTAGAACTGATTCATCAGATAAAATAAATACTATAATTGACATTATCAAAACATCCGCCTCCAAGGTGATTGTAGTTTTTGTCTCAGACTTAGATATGGTTGTGTTATTACAGGTGTTGTCTCAGCACAACTTGACTGGCTACCAGTGGGTAGGAAGTGAGGGGTGGATCATTGATACCCAAACTGCAGAAAAAAAATAGACATCACATTCTGGACGGTGCCATAGGCCTGTCCATCCCCAAAACACATATCAGTGGCATGAGAGAGTTCATATTAGATGTGAAGCCACTCAATTCATCCAGTAACAAAATGTTTACAGAGTTGTGGGAGACTTTATTTAACTGTAAGTTCAAACAGCCAAACTCATCAGGAGAGAATCAGAGAGAATGTACTGGACATGAAGATCTGACTGGAGTGCAAAACAGCTTCACTGATATGTCACTCATGCCTCTTTTTAAAAATGTCTATAAAGGAGTGTATGCTGTGGCACATGCACTTCATAATATTCTTGAATGTAACAAAACATGTAACAACAGGGTGCAGCTAGATCCACTCACGGTGAGTTCAACATTAAAGAAATAAATAAATAGTAAATATAAAAACAGTAAAAATGTCTAAAATTTTGAATAATAAATTGGTGTAGTGTTCATGCTGTTAAGCCAACAGGCCTACACACTGTTTGACTTATACAGTGTTTTGCTACAAATCGAAGCAAACTCAAAGTGCTTTACACCTTTTCCCATTCATGCACAAATGACCCAGACAAACTGTTCTACCTCCTGAGCCACAGCCACCCCAATTAACTAAATTTAAATCAATCTTTTTAGATTTTACAGCACATAAGAAAGATTCATTTCAAAACCAAGGAAGGAGATGAGGTTTACTTTAATGAGAATGGAGACCCAACAGCAAAGTATGAAATTATCAACTGGCAGCCAACAGAAAATGGCACTGTGGACTTTGTCACAGTTGGTCTTTATGATGCATCTTTTCCTGCAGACAAACAGTTGAGTCTGCAACTTGAGTCTTTTATTTGGGCACAGAACTCAAAACAGGTAAACTACCATGTCATCACTGTACTTAATAAATACAGCATTATCATTGTAACTGTATTACTGTTGCTGTATAATAATATTTGGTTTAATAGTTAACATCAGGGGTCTGCAAAGAATAAACCTTTAGAAAGTCAGTGGCCATATAGTTTTCTCCGAGTAATTTTTTCCATACAGGTGCCTGTGTCAGTTTGCAGTGTGAAATGTCCCCCAGGAACTCGTAAAGTTCTCCAGAAAGGAAAACCTGTCTGCTGCTATGACTGTATCAGATGTGCAGAGGGAGAAATAAGCAACACAACAGGTCTGGTAAAATTCAACATTAGGCACTTCATTGTGCCACAAAACAAAATTCTTAAATCAGTTATGTTTACATGGCAGTTTTAATAAATGTGTGTTCATGTGCATTTCAAGGTTAAGGCCCCATTGTAGAATGAATATGTAACTCTACTGTGTGATAAATATTCCAGTCACACTGTTTATAGAACAATAACAAAGTCCTCGGGCATTTGGGGCAGAATGTGTTGTGTTCATCCATAATTTCATGCTCAGACCATCCTCGGTCACATTCATATGAAGGGAAGGGAGGGATATTGGCATGATTTGTTATCTTCCAAATAATATTTGTTACATGTACGAGTCCACAGTGTCAGAAATTACTACATAAAAGTAATTTCTTAAATTGAATATACAGATGCTATAAAAATGAAATAAAAGCTATGAAACTATCTAAATCATTATTAAGTGTGCCATTTACCTGTCACAACATACCCATTTATTAACATGTAATCATGTAGTGTCTGTCTTGTTTGCAAAGAGAAGGTGAAAAATAACAAAGAAAGATAAAACTACTGTGCAAGTCTCACATTTTCTTTCAAATGATTTTTTAGATTCTACGACCTGTGAGCGATGCCACCCTGAGTCCTGGTCCAATGACAGAAGAGATGCCTGTGTAAAGAAGGAGGCAGAGTTTCTATCATATGAAGAAATTATTGGAGTACTGCTCACTGCAGTGGCCTTATCTGGAACATGCATGACTGCTGTTGTGGCAGCCATTTTCTTCAGATACAGGACAACTCCTATTGTCAGGGCCAACAACTCTGAGCTGAGCTTCCTGCTGCTCTTCTCCTTGACTCTGTGTTTCCTGTGTTCTCTGACCTTCATCGGCCGGCCCTCTGAGTGGTCCTGCATGCTGCGACACACAGCATTCGGCATCACCTTTGTCCTCTGTATCTCTTGTGTTCTGGGGAAAACTATAGTGGTGTTAATGGCCTTCAGGGCTACACTTCCAGGCAGTAATGTGATGAAATGGTTTGGGCCTGCACAGCAGAGACTCAGTGTTGTGGCTTTCACTCTCATCCAGGTTGTTATATGTATCCTCTGGTTAACTATTTCTCCTCCTTTTCCATTTAAGAATTTTACCCAGTTCAAGGACAAAATCATCTTAGAGTGTGCTTTGGGATCAGCTGTAGGCTTTTGGGCT